CTGCATGTCTTCTGTCTACCAGAAAGGATAATAGAAAGCTAACCACCACCATCCTTAACTTCACCTATAGAAGCTGCTTTTGAAACTGACCCAAAAGCTACAGCTTTTTGGAAGTCTACAACAGTCAATGCACCTAATATTTTGGAGGAAATTAAAAAAAAATCTGATTTTTATCTGTGTAAAAGGCATTGCTATGGAATTACAGTAATAAAATTCTTCTTATTCATATCAGTTGAAAGCTTTCAAATGGGCAACTTTCTGATAGTGATTTTGTGGCTGAATAATTTAAAACTGACAGCAAGAGCCACATTTATTAAATTTGTGTTTTTCTAATTATTAAAATATTTACTATCTCTAACCTTTTGTACCTCAGGGACCACCAAACTCATAATTTTAAATACCAGGGACCACTAACTGGTTCTGTGGGTGTGGCCTAATTTGTGGGTGTGGCTTGGTGGTTATGTGACTGGTTGGGCATGGCTTGTATGTAAATATTATAAATATTTATATAAATATTGATTTTTTTTATTAAAAAGAGAGCAACTTTTACCCAAAATCAGGCAAAGCAGGCAGGCAGATTGAGTTGCTCACAGAATCACAGATTCATTCAGAAATCTATCTATCTGCCATCGGCTAGCTCGGTCTGTCACATAAAATTTGCTTGCCGTGAGTCAGTACTGAATAATAGAACCTTCAGTCCTAAGGGAGGTTCAGCTGTGCTTAAAAGCAGAGCCAAAGATCTAAAGGCTAGCTAGAAAGCAAGAAATCCAACCATTTCCTGCTTCCTAGCTAATCTAAATCTCCGGCACAGCAGAACAGATGATGGTCGGAAAAAGGAAAAATAGCAATTTAGCAGGCAAATTTGCCAGGTAAGGAGAGAGTGGGCGGGGAGGGTTCCCGCGGGCCATGTGGGTGGCGCAGCCTTGTGTTTCTGTGCAGCCTGGATTAATTGCTTGGGGAGGGTGCTCTGGGGGTGAGATTTCTCTGTGGCCCACCAAAATTTTCTCAGGACTCACCAGTGGGCTGTGGCCCACCAGTTGGTGACCACTGATTTATAAGACATCAAAGGATTCAATGGTGGAAGTAAGAATAGGTTTGGGAGAACTTTTCCAATATTCTAAGAAGAAACAGCTCCTTCCACAGTCTGAACTGGATTGATCAGATTAGAAGAGTATTAATAATATCTAGTAACATTCACCTTCACAATTAATTCTCCACTTATGAAGGTGGAAGAAGGGATAATTCTATGGAATTCAAATTTGATGAAAGAGAAACATTCCTAACCTTAAACATATTCTTCCTGTTTTATTGGATAATGAAAAAAATATCAGATTTTTTTGGGGGGGAGTATTTGATAAATTGAATGTTATGACTTAAACAGAGAATTAAATTTTCATAAAAAGTTGGATTATTATGTAGATTTGATGAAGAGTATACAGTGTTAAACAGTTAAAAAAATTATTACCATTGTATCTATTGGCAGTAGTGAAAGTATTTGAATAATTTATCACTTACAAATGTTATAATAAAATGTGGATAGAACTCTGCTCAAAAAGCATTGAAAATTTAAGACTCTAAAGAAACTACAAAGAAATTTCCTTGCAGGAGGGGTTTTGTTTGGGGGCAGCAAGGGCCAATTGGGTCTGATAGCATTAGGAAATTACTGTAGGACTCAGTTTAAACTTGTTCATGTACAAAAGACAGGGAACAAAAGGTGTAACTTCCATTTTATTTCTAAAATGTACTGTATTTTCTCCACTCCATCTGGTATCTTCTCTTATAACAGGAGTCACCTATTTCTTATTTTAGATTAGTATCTCTTTGGTGTTTTTTTTAAATATTTTATGGTGTCATTGGGGACTTTTTTTAGTACTGCAAATATTGAGTGGTTTTGATTAAAATTGCAAAGGAATCTTTGCTTCAAACAATGCTTCATTGTAGACTTCAAACATAGTTGGACCTAAGATCTCTTGTAGGTATTTATAAAATTCTGCTGGTAGGCCATGGTCCTGGTGTCTTGTTTTTTGCCTCTTAATTGCTTCTGTTAATTCCATCATTGTTATTCTTTCATTCAACCTTATCTTCATTTCTTCCAGCACTTTGGATAGGGTGGCTTCTTCCATATATTGTTTAATTTTATCTTCAAGTATGTTTTCTTTGCTGTATAGTTTTTCATAAAATTATTTTATTTATTTTTTCTTATCTTCATTTTTGTGTCAAATTGTACCCATCTCATCTTGTAACTTTTGTATCAGTTTCTTTTCTTTTTCTTTTTTAAGTCTGAATGCCAACCATCGCCCCAACTTATTTGCGTTTTCAAAGAAATTTTGTTTGGCTACTTTAATTTTTTGTGCCAATTCCTCTTTCTCTAGAATATTTAATTCATGTTTTACTAATTCCATTTGATTTTTGTCATTTTTTGTGGGTTTCTCTGTAATTCCAGTTCAAATCTTTTATATTCTTCTAATTCCTTTCATCTTTTCTCCTTCTCCCTATTTTTCCTTCCTATATAGGAAGGAATCCCCTGAAATATACTTTGGCAGTATCCCATACATTTTGTAGGGACGTTTCTCCATTTTTATTCTTTTTAAACAAAAACTCCATTTCCTTCTCTGTTTTCTGTATAAACTCTTTATCTTCCAATGCTGACTGCTTTAATGTCCGTCTCGGTTTTCTTGTTTGTCCTTTCCATTTTATTGGATTATGGTCTGCCTAAATACTTGACTCTACTTCTTGTATATTCTCTTGCAGTTCCAGTGACATCCATATCATATCAATTCTCGACCATGATTTATGCATATTTGAGTAGGAAGTATATTGTTTTTCTCTGGTTTTAATTCCCTTCAATTAATTCCTAATTCCTCCGTCATTTTAAAAAAGGTCTTTGGTAAAGTTCTCCTACCTTTTTCATTTGTTTTGTAGTCTAATTTTACATCAACAATTGTGTTAAAGTCTCCTACAATACAAATGTTATCATATTCTGTTTCTGTAATTTTTTTAAATGTAATTGTTCATAAAAAAACTTCTTAGAGAATTTGGTGCATATATTACTGTTAATAGTGTCCATTTATAATTCATCATTACTTCCACTATCAAAATTCTCCCCTCTTCATCTTTATAAATTTGTTTTGATTCTAAGGATTCTTTGATGAAGAGGGCCACCCCTCTTTTTTTCTGCTGTGCTAATGAGGCATATAGTTTCCCTATTTTAGGGTTTTCCAATTGTTTATAGTGGTCCTTTTTAATATGTACTTCCTGGCGACAAATCAAATCTAAATTCAAATTTTTTAATTTATTGAAAAAAGTTTTCCTTTTTTTCTATATTTGCTATGTTGCTACACAAATCCTGTTCAGTTCCACATTATTCTTTTTAAAAAAGCAGATTAGACTTACAGGTTCATTTTTGAACATACATGACCAAAAAATCAGTATAGGAAAACAATAGTAAGATTTATATAATCTAAAAAGAAAGCAGAAACTGTATAAAATGAGAAAACTTTGTGCTGGACATGTGAGAAAAATCCCAAACTACCGGTAGGCCGAAGAATAATTTTAATTCTTTCCAGTGAGGTTTCATGAACGTAGCCTGCAAGCAACATCATACATGACAGATTGGGTCCATGTGGTGCATGATTAAAATACTGGAGGAAGACTTGTGTGACACTAGAGCTCAAGTGTGCACTCCCTGATTGGCCAATCAGTCTCTTAATCCCTTGTACTATAATTTCCTAGGATTCTTACAGTGCTGTTACAGTGCTAAATTAGCATATATACTGCATTGAGTTCCTAGAATACAAGTTGCTAATGAATGTAATAAAAATGTATATATAACCATTACATGTCCTCTAAGAATATACAACAACACAGAGATTGTGCAGATTTGCGGGGCCATGTTACTGAACAGGTTGATACTGAAAGGTTCAACTAGTGTAAACATGTTATGTTATAGTAGGTTATGTTGTTTATGTTACGTTTAACATGGTGTTCTGGTGTTCTATTGGATTCCAAGCAGCATTTCTGCCCTTTGAATGCCAGGGTCTTGATTTAGATTGGCTTCTTCTTCAGCATGAAGATGCAAAAGTACAGAGATGCTCTGAAAGTTACAGCATGATATTTTGAAAAAATGGCCATAACATCAAGGAAATTACACTTTAAATTACAAATACAATGTTATGGTAACTTTATTTAATACAAGGATACTTCTCACATGGTAGCAACTCAGATTATCTGAATTTGAAATCTTAAGTGAGGAAAAAGGAAGCCTAGTAAGACAATTAAAGGAAACATAAAAGTATCTCACTGAGGATTTGTTTAAACCAAAAAAAAGGAAAGTTGTAAGATGGCCAAATATAAAATTACAGGGCACCAGAGACTATATTAAAATAGATACTTAATTTATTTTTAAAAAATGGAAATGGCTATGAATTTTAATTGGGCAGTAAAAATAGTTTGGTAAAAAAGGTATCTAAAAACTGCAGGAAATGTTTGATGAATATGTTGGCCAAGAGAAGTATGGATACGCCTAATACTATCAGTTATTAATAGACATGCACTTCTCTAATAGTAACAGTACAGGTAGTCCTTGACATACAACCACAACTAAGCCCAAAATTTATGTTAAGCGAGAAATTTGTTGTGAGATTTGCCCCATATTATCACTTTTCTTGCCACATTTGTAAACTGAATCACTGCAGTTGTTAAATTAGTAATACAGGTAAGTGAATCTGGTTTTCCCATTGATTTGACTTCTCAAAAGATTGCAAAAGGTGATCATATGACCTCAGGATGCTGCAGCTGTCATGAATGTGAGTCAGTTGTCAAATATCCAAATATAAACCATGTGACCATGGGGATGCTGCAATGATCATAAGTGTGAAAAATGGCCATAAGTCTACTTTTTTCAATGCCATTGTAACTTTGAATGGTCACTAATGAACTATTTATTGTAAGTCGAGGACTACCTGTATAGATTTCTCATATTTTATTAATGATACATTTTATAGAGTATTCTTGCCTTCCTTGTGGATTTTTAGGCAGCTTTGTGTGCAGCATATAATATCCAGGAAATTTATTTTCTTTGCTGTTTAGTTTACTGTTTAGTCACAGTTCATATAATGGTCTGACCTCAAAATAATACCCTGCAAATTACTGATTTCTTGATTTAAGAAAGGTATTTTACTTGTGTTTCAAATCATACACAAAAACTGGTTACTAACAGTGCTTAAAAATATTAACGCAACTCCACTTGTTCACAAATGTACAAAAAATAATAGCAGATTTACATTCAACTACTAAAGCTTAATGTCCACACTAGATAATAGTTGCATTGACATTCACATATATAAGCACAGAACAAATATTTTAGGATACTTATAAGAGCATGTTGCATACTTACAGTACTTTAATTTTACATAATAAGCAATAATTTGAAGGGTCAGAAATTCATAAAATCTTAGAGAAACTAAACCCAAGAAGATCATGTAGGCAAATACATCAAGACACGCAACAGAGCTAGCAGATTAGTAAAGTTGCTTGGTGAGAAAGAATTGATTTCCACTTCCCCTGATTATTATTATTACAAAAGGAGTGTACTCAAAGTGCAGAATAAGGAAAGCAAAATGAGAGCAAGAAAATCTTTTATTTCTTTAATGCATGCAAGAGGCAGTCCCCATTCCCAATCTAGTGACCTGATATAATAAAGCGGTGATTGGCAGATATAATACAGTGTTTCAGGCATTTTTTCTAAAGCACTTTATTAGCAGCAATTATATTTTCTAATGGCTGTAAATTTACTTCGGTTTGGGGGTAAAGGACATTATATTTTTTTCATTTACAGTTATTCTCCCTTTATAAAATATTAAATCACTAATAGCATGGATAAGACTACTTCCTTCTATATTTTTGCATATGTTTTATGGAAATACTCTGATATTTTCAGAGTTGCTATGTGCAAAGGAATGTTAAATAGAGTGGAAACAAGGACATAAAGGAAACATCACAGTCATTTACATTCCTGAGATGTCAGCCCTTAATTCCTTTGTTAAACTTTGAGAGCTTGTCAGCACGGTGGTTTCCTAACAGCCTTGGACAATGTCCCCAGAGGGCCGTTCACTTATCTGGATTGTAGACACTTCTATCCACACAGCTGCACACAAGATTTGAATAAGGAATCTCCACTCTCCAAAGTTACTTGTGTTTTTTTCCCCAAGGGGAGATTTTCCACACACCTTGTTTAGCTCTACGGTAGTGAGTCAAGGATACGGGAGGTTGCCATGCAGACGTTCCCTGAGGGACATCCTTGCTAGGAGATCAAAGGCCTTATTGTGGCAATATGGTCAATGGCTTGGAAGCAGACATACTTCATGGTTTCTCATATGAGTTGTCTGAGTTAAACTTGTTTTGTTTTTTTGCTGGAGTGTGTATACAAAATATAGAAAAGCTTGCACTCAAAACATACATGGATACATCTGATGGAATACAAAATAATCACAAATTTAACTTAGATCCCCGGGCACATTAATTTAACAAGTAACTTAATTTGTTCATGTTTTGCGAGTGCTTTTGCATCATATTAACCTGACCTTGCATCACCTAGCCAGCCATCAGTGCACAGGAGTTTTCAATCAGCTACAGGGTGCACAATAACAAAACTGTTTACCTCTCCACCTCCATATATGTCATCAGGATAGGGTTACAGACTCCAATTTTGCTTGGGCTATGTTGTGAAAAGTTTCTTTTCCAAAGTAGGAGAAAAGAAACAGATCTGCTTTTTTTATAATCTGAAAATAAGCCAGGGTGGATAAAAATAGTTAATGTCAGGTGTGATAAAGCTTTCAAGACAAAACCTGTCAAGCAAAAGACATTGTGAATTCCCTGCAGATTTTTTGAAGTCTTGTACATACAGGAAATTAGTTAACAGGAAGAAGTTGGGAGTTGCTACATGGGAGAGTTCTTCCAAATTGCAAAAATTGGCTAAATCGATTGTTCAGTATAAACCCCTCACTGATCATTGTTGTCAGCAGTGCTGTTGATCTTTTCTTTTTTATCCTGAGCCTTGTTTCCCTTCTTTTTCTTCTTCTTTTTCTTGGTCTCTTCCTTCTTGCCAAAAGTTATAAAGTCACTTTTATCAGTTTGGCTATTTGGTGGATCTTGACGAATGGAGATGATGGCAGGAGATCCTGGGATAATGAACTTGTCTGGCAACTCACTTGGGCCTGGCTGCTTGGAATTGCCAGGCCCATATTTGAAAGTCCAGCTGTTGCTATTCACGCCAGCTCCCACTGGAGGGGATACTTCACCAGCTTCAGGTTCTAGGGGAATAAAATTAAATAAAGCATTAAAATATTATTCAGCTAGAAATACATGCAGGTAAATTGCACTACTGTGTTCTAAGAATTATTTCAAATAAGGGTCAAAATGATGCTACAGGTACATATCAAGTTTCCACAGGTGAGATTTCTCTTCTCTAATAAAAAGAAATCACATTTTCTTAATGCTTTTTTCAAAAATCTGGAAATTAATAAATGCTCTGTCTTACATATTAGTAAACGCAATCAGAATGTCAAGTATAAGCTAGGTGGTATTGACCTAGCAGATGATTCTCACTTTGATAAGGACCTAGATGTGTTTATCTCTGACTATCTATGCTCCAAACTTCACTGTAACAGCATTGCTAAAAAAGTATTAAGAGTTGTAAACTTAATTCTACGAAGTTTCTTTTCTGGCAACATTGTATTGCTAACTAGAGCTTATAAAACTTACATTAGACCGATCGTAGAGTACTGTTCAACTGTCTGGAATCCCTACCATATATCTGATATTATTAGTACAATCGAGAGGGTACAAAGGTATTTTATGAGAAAAGTTTTGCACTCTTCTGTACATAATAGAATTCCCTATACTACTAGGCTTGAAATTCTTGGTTCGGATAACATGGAACTGTGTCACTTGCAGTCAGACTTAGGCATTGCATAAAAATTGTACGTAGCAATGTTTTACCTGTAAATGACATTTTTTGTTTTAATCACAATAATACGCACACGAATAACCATTATCAACTCAATGTAAACCGATCTAAACTTGACTGTAAAAAATATGATTTTTGTTTTCACAGTCTGGAATGCTCTACCTGAAACAGTTGTCTCAGCTACAAATTTTCACAGTTTTAGTCGCAAATTGACTTCCGTGGATTTTACTTCACACTTAAGAGGTTCATAAAGGGGGCATGCATAAATGCATAAATCTGCCTATCGTCCCTGTTGGGTTTTTAAAATATTATTTTCTGTTTTTGTTTCTTTTTGACAAATTATAATTAAAAAAAATAAAAAATAAATCTACAACTTGAATTGCCAAATTACAATTAAGAATGATATTTTTAATTTCATATTTATATTGATTTTATATTGAAAAAAGCCTACCTCATGCATCTATCAAACTGGATTCTAGCCCACAAAAGCTTGTGTCCAGTAGGTTGAATATTATGGCACATTAAAACTACCTTACAAAGATCAAAGCTGTTTCATTTGAATTATTAAGAGTTGCAGTGGCGCAGTGGTTAGAGTGCAGTACTGCAGGCTACTTCTGCTGCCTGCTGGCTGCCTGCAATTTGGCAGTTCAAATCTCACCAGGCTCAAGGTTGATTCAACCTTCCATACTTCTGAGGTGGGTAAAATGAGGACCCAAATTGTTGGGGGCAATATGCTGACTATGTAAAATGCTTAGAAAGTACTGTAAAGCACTATGAAGCGGTATATACATCTAAGTGCTATTGCTATTGTAATTACCACATTTTCCTGAAAACATGACCTACCCCAAAATAAGTCTTAGCTTGATTTTTACATGTGCGCCCAATATAAGTCCTACCCCCAAAATAAGCCCTAATTAAGACCCCCACCCACTCCAGAGTGCACGGGTAAAAATTAAGCTAGGGTAGGGATTGGGTGGTGGTGGAGCTGCCCTACTACTTATCTTTGGACAGTTGCAGCCAGGCCTCACACACCCAAACACCTGCCTTGCCAGACCATTTTTTCTATAGCCAGCAAGGCTTTCCTGAAGGCCTCTGCAACCAATAACAGATCGATCCAGAGCTCTGTTATTGGCTGCAGAGGCTTTTAGGTTGAATTTGTACATCTTGAACCAGCACATGATAGATAGTCAGAATCTGCAAATACGAACTCAGGAAATCAAAGGCTCAGAATGAACAAAAACTTGCAACAAAAGTCAAAGATAACAAAAAAAAGTTTCTTCCATCATATAAATAGCAAGAAAAAAATATCAAGGAAACGGTCCACTAAAGAGAGAAGACGGTAAGGAAATAACAAGCAGCAGAGAGAAAGCAGAGCTGCTTAACTCACTCTTCACATCTGTCTTCATGCAAAAAGAAACTATAGCCTACCAAAAACATAACAGTAAAAAACAGACTAGAAATAAAAGTTAAAATAAGCAAAAAGAATAGTAAGAGAACACCTGTCTGATCTTGATGAATACAAATCACTGGGACATGACAGATTACATCCCAGAGTTCTAAAGGAGCTGGCAGATATCATTTCAGAACCACTGTACTACATCTTTCAAAATTCCTGGAGTACCAGAGAACTACCAGAGGACTGGAAAGGAGCTGATGTGGTTCCCATTTTCAAAAAAAAGGGGGGGGGGAAACAGACCCAGGAATCTACAGACCAATCAGCCTAACATCAATACCCGGGAAGATACTGGGCAAGATAATTAAAAAAAAACATATCTGCCAACATCCAGAACTGAGTAAAGTAATAACTAGCAGTCAGCATGGGTTTGTTAAAAACAGATCATGCCAAACCAATCTTATTTCATTCTTCTAAATTAGTAGACCAGCGAAATACTGTGGACATAATATACTTAGACTTCAGCAAGGCATTCAAGAAAGTAGACCACAACCTACTTCTTGGTAAGCGAGAAAAAAGTGGGATAGATAGCATCACTATCACATGGCTGGCTGACAAACCGTACCCAACAAGTAGTCCTTCATGGATCTATGTCTACATGGAGGGAAGTAAGCAATGGGATACTACAAGGTTCTGTCTTAGGCCCAGTACTCTTCAGTATCTTCATAAATGATTTAGATGATGGAATAGAAGGGGAACTTACCAAATTTGCGGATGACACTAAGCTGGCAGGAATAGCTAACACCCTAGAAGATAGGCTCAAGATCCAGATGGATCTTTACAGACTTGAACATTGGGCCATATGCAATGGTGGGATTCAACCAGTTTGCACCTATTTGTGAGAACCGGTTGTTAACTTTCTAAGCAGTTCGGAGAACCGGATATTGGAAGAAATTTCATGTTTTTTTCACTTATAGGACTAATCCTGTAAGGAAGGCGGGAAGGAAACATTCTGGTGTTGTTTTTAGCCTAATCTTTATTGCTCTGATTACAGAAACTGCCTTTCAGTTAACCCTTATAACAGCTTGGCAGTACACCCAGACTTACTGTCACTTGAGCTCAAGGGTTTCTTTTTTTCTTTGCTGGTACTTTGCTGGGGATTGACTTTCTTAAAGGGGAAGGGTTGTTTTAAGCTTTTTACACTTCTGTTGGGAGGAAATAATTGAATAACGAAGTAGAGCTGCTGGAAATAAGCTTTTAATGACAAGGAACCAAGATGAGTGACATTCAGCAAGGCTTCTTGGCTAGCTAGAAAGATTGACATTCAAATGTTACATACCCTTTCTGAGTTTTGGTCTAAAACCAGGGGTGGGATCCTACTGGCATAACAACCAGTTTGCAGCACACGCATGCACACTACTTACAAATTACCGAGTCTGGCAAGCATTCACCTGCTCCAGCTGACAAGCGGCACTCAGCTGTGCCGCGCAAAGCAGCTGAGGAGGAAAAAGCAGAAAATAAAGGACAACCTAGAGCCTGGGCAGGTGGGGGGGCCAAACAGACGACCAGAAGATCATCGCAGTGAACCGGTTCCGTGTCAGCTGCTCTTCGGAGCTACTGATTCAACAGAACTGGCCCGAACCGGTAGAATCCCACTCCTCTCTAAAACTGGTTTTTGGTGAAGTTTAATCCTGTGCTTGGTCACGTTTAAATCCTGTGTTTATTGATGGGATAATTTTCCTTATTCAGCTTTGTTTGGAAGGAAAAATGTTAAACTCTGTTCCTGAAAAGGGTCTCCTTCACTGCTTTACTGGTTCCTAACACTGTCCTTTTGGGATGTACTTCCAAGAGGCAGGATGCAAGCTTGGCACTGATTTTTTTATTGCCTTTCTGGGGGGGGGGGCGTATGATCTTTCCTTAAACCTGGATGATTTCCTTAGGATATCTTGTGAGGTGAGTGAGACCAGCTGGTATATTTAAGTGATGCAAATGGATCTCAGGATTGCTTCTCCTGGGTGTGCTTTTTATGGAGAGCTTAAATGACCTCTCTGCTAAACGGTTTCAAGAGCAAGAGTTGGCTGCTGATAGTTATCATTATATGTTAACTATTTTAATTCCTCAAGTGCTCTGGCACCCTGCCTGATTTGTAACTCCAGCCTGCAGGTGTTACTTATGAAAAGGAAGGTATTCGGACATAATGGTTTAGGTTTCCATGATGGCTGTGGCTATCATTGATCTTCAGTGTGTATTCTCCCATTTCCAATCTAATGATTGGTATTTAGGGCAGCTTTTTGCAAGCAAAGAAGCTTTTTATATTTTTGTACAGGTAATCCCTGACTTACAACAGTTCATTTAGTGACCATTCAAAGTTACAATAGCACTGAAGTGATTTATGATCGTTTTTCACACTTATGACCATTGCAGCATCCCCGTGGTCACGAGAGTCCAGGAGAGGTGAAGCACCCCTCGATGTAAGTGACATAGAGTTGGTCACGCCCACCCAATCACATGACCGCCCAGCCATGCTTACTCAGCTGATCGTTAGGACAGAGAACTGGTTGTTAAATTATTTGAATCCCACCACTACCCCCTACCTAACAAAATGAAATTCAATGTAGAGAAAAGTAAAGACTTGCACTTAGGCAAGAAAAACCAAAAGTACACATATAGACTGGATGATACCAAGCTTAATAGCAGTAACTGTGAGAGGGATCTTGGAGTCTTAGTGGACAACCAGCTAAATATGAGCTAATAATGTGCAGTGGCAGCCAAAAAAGCCAATGCAATCCTAAATTGCATTAATAGAGAGATACAATCAAGATCAAATGAAGTACTAATACCACTCTATAAAGCCTTAGTAAGACCACACCTAGAATATTGCATCCAGTTTTGGTCACCACAGTATAAAAAGATATTGAGACTCTAGAAAGAGTGTAGAGAAAAGCAAAAGT